CCACTGAATGTACAAAATGCACATATAAATTCAAAAAAGTTATGCTAGTCGCTCTTGCTCTGTCGTCATTGCGAATTGCTTCTGGTGCAGGCAAACGAAGAAATAAATTTTTTTTTGAATCGGACTTAAAGAAAAGAGAGCACATAAAATGAGAGCAAAGAGAAGAAAAAAAACGCACACAACAACCAAAGAATTAAATAATTCAAAACCATTGCACAGTGCATCACAAGAGCACGTATGCACTACACACGCTGGATAATTCAAATGTTTTGTCATACTCGGTCGATTTACTGTTGCCAGTCTATGCTTGCACTCACTTTGCATTCACATGTGCTGTGTATGAGCGCTCTACTCCTCTCTCTCTCTCCCTCTTTCAGCTTCTTCATTCGTTCGTTTTTGAATCGGCATCCTCACATTGAGATACAGAAATGTCTGCGAGCACTGCATTTTCTGGCTCTCTACTTTATTTATCTTGTTTCTTTTGGAAGCGATTTTGTTGTAGTTTTTGTTAGTTGACGTTCCCGAATGCATCGAGAGATATGGCAAAGCGAACAAGAGAAGAAAAAAAAATCGTATACGTATGTACAAAAAAAGACACCATACACATTGAGTACCACGCAGTCAACTAAACGAATGAAGAACGCAACACAATGGGATTCTTTGTATCATATTATGTCACGATGCTCTGGTGCACTCGGCACCAAATCTAGTACGGAACCCATTTCATTTGAAAGTCTCGGTTGTTGCTGCTGTTGCTACGGTTGTTGTTGCCAGTGCTGTTTTTTTTCTCTCTCTCCGATAATCTGTTGGTTTGTTTTGCAATTTGACATACGATGAGGTGCATGCTCATTGTAAGCTGAAAATGGATCGAAGCACATTCGCATTTGCACAGAGACTTGGATGCATAACGATCAAGAGATAACAATGATGTATTCTACGGCTCTCAACGAACTGCGACTAAGCGCTGAGAAAGATAGAGAGGGATAGAGAAAAATGCACTCGATAGAGCAAAAAGAGCGATAGAGATGCTAAAAAGAATAGAATGCAACAAAAAGAACTCACTCGGCTTTACCGAATCCGCGATGCATGGTGTAGAATAGACGCGAATCTCTCTGAACTGTCTCTCGTCGTTTGAATTCTAGAGCAGAGAGTGCTTTCATCGCCTTCCAACAATCCATTGTGACCATTTCGGAACACAAACAAAAAAATATATCTAATAATAATGCATAAGCACACGAGAGCAGCTATTTACTGGTTGTTTGTGTTGGCTGATTTATCGCCTTTTTTATGCGTTTCTAACAATTCGACGCGCGGTGCATCGTACAACAGCAATGTGAAAAGAATGTTTGCTTTGATTTCTTTCTTTCCTTTTTTTGCTCTCTCTCTCTCTCTTTCTCTCTGTCTTCCATTTGAATTTGTACACAATGTATTCGTTTGGTTAGTGCACAATTTAATCGTCGTTCTATCGCGTAAAATTACCGAGCTCATGCACCATTTAAGAACATCGACACCGCAATTTTAAATCGTATTTATATTTCGCCATCTAACATACACACGAAGCTAATGATTGGTATTGCGCTCACCCAAACCGCCCAATGTACACTCTTTCACAAGTTTTTTTAAACAAGAGAAAACAATTTCTTTTGCGGGCACGTTTCAATGCACTCTGAATACCATCGTCATCGTTGTTTTTTGTTGTTGTTGTTGTTGCTGCTGTCGTTGTCGTCGTTACTGTGACCATTGAGTGTTCGGAAAATAATATGTGTGCTTTGACTCTTCGGCCAATCGTCAAGCGATTATCGTAAATAAATCGCCGCTGTGTGATCAATGATTGTGTTACGTACATGATATTTCGTTACAAGAACAAAGAACGAAAAAAAGTATATATATTGCACTCGTTTTGCCCGTTTTCGCAATGGACAAAACAACTACACACATTGTGTGTTATGCGACCACAGTCCAAACTGCTCGATTTCTCAGGAATGTCTGTATTCGAAAATCGTCTAATGATTAATGTAAAATCTGCAGAAAGTGTAAGAATTTCCTTGTTCTCCGTATTTTTCTATCTCATTCGATTCACTCAGTGTATGATGGTTTTTATTCTATTTTGCTTACTTTTCATTCACAAGAACTTGAATTCAATACAAAAGATCGACCGTTTTTCAATCTTTGCACACACATTGTTTAACATTACCGAATATCATCATCGGGTTCGGTATAAGAAGCCGAAACAAACTTGGCACAAATAATAACAATGAATTTGAATGGTTTTAAGAGAAGAGAAGGAAGAAGCATCTTCCAAGACTCCTTTATTCTCTCTCTCTCTGTCTATATGTTTCGAAACAGAGAAAGAGAGATAGACACAATGCAGTGCCCATTGCATTGTGAATAAAAAAGAATGTCACACAATATAATAAAATAAAAATAAGTAATATAATGTTCGATTTAAAAGGATTTTCTTCGCTTTGCCGAAAAATAGACACTAACACAATATGATTTATTCCGGCATTTTTGTCTCTTGTGCATTCGCTTGTTCTCATTTTTGGGTGCTTGGCATGTTTTCTCTGTGTCTCACATTAAACACTAGATTTTCGGCTTCGATTCGGGTGTTTGCATGATAAATGGTTTGACTCCTTGGATCGATTCGAACCATTCATATAGCATTTTTGGCTTTAAAAAGTGTGGTTTAAGATAGGCGTTCCGTGAAAATTGCATTTTTTCCGGATGACACTTAAATCTATCGAAATATGGTGCAATTCAAGCGATGAGAAAACTACTGCACTTCTTCTTTTTTTCCCGTAAACTAAATATCTGTGTCATCGATTTTTTTTTTCATCATTCATTCAGTGTTGTTTTTTAATAAAAAAAGGTTTTATGACCTGTTACGATAATTTCGACAAAAAGAAAGCAAATGAAGAGAGAGGCAGATAGAAGTTTTTTTTATAGATGTTGTAACATCTTTATGCTAGAATAAACTTCGTCCGGTTCATTCATACAACACCATTAAATCCCATCCAGTTGAAATAGTAAATATTGTCGATGAATTGCCTCTAATCAATCCCGAAAAACTGTTGCCCATTGACGGACAGAGTAACACATCCGCAACACCGGCCAGTCTCGTTTTTCTCATTCATTTGAACGTTAAAACTCGACAAAATTAATGCAAAACGTAACGAAGCCGAAATGAAGGAAAAAAGCCGAGAAAATCGGTTGATTTATTTAGCATACAGCACATGTTGCGTTTCTCACACGCATCATCACAGCAAAAGACGAGGAAGGACAAAAAAACGTAGCAAAGGCCGAGCAATCAGTATTATATAGTTGCTTTACCATGTCCAAAGCGACTGACCGATCACACACATATTCCACAGGCTGATGTCTCGTATTTAGTGTGTATTAGCCGATGTAATTCGTATGTGGCGCGAGTACAAAAAAAGACGCAAACACACACACACATACAAAGAGAGAGACGATAATAAGTGCTAAATACCAATTCACACTGTAATTTTCGGATGGTGTTTTCTCTTCGCTAACACCAATGTGCATTGGTTCTGGAAACGACTGTTATTATACCCGGTGGTTGTGGCAAATGCCATTGCCTCATATGAAATCATCTCATTTATATTTCAACAGTTACATAATGTGAACGTATACACACACACACATATATGGAAACTTGTGCGCTAAATAAATACAATTTCACCAACGACGTGCACATTCACCGATGGATTTTCGTCTGTACAATTTAACTCGAGATTTTATGTTCAGCAAAGTCTCAATCTTTTACATTGCACAGACGATAAACCTACCCGTTTCACACAATGTTTATTCAACTCAACGAATACATTGGCAATATACGACTATTTTTCCAAATAAAAAAACAACAACGACGACTACGACGATGACAATGCACGGGGCGAAAAATGAAATAAAACGCAAAACATCGTGTCAAACTTCAAAAAAGTCGTTTTCCCTTACTTTCGTATGCATCTAATTACCTTTCATTTTTTGCATTGTAACCAAGCAAACTACCCTCCTGTTTTTTTTTAATTCCTTTGACATTCAGTTGGTATATGTATGTTGCGCACACGATACAACGGAAATATGCCAAATATGCGGCGTCAACGGCAACAGTAGCGGTTTTTCCATTGTTAGCTACAACAAATTGATTCAACGAAACAAACACAAAACATACACACACACACACTCGCACACACACAAGAAAACCGTTTAAAATTACAACAAGATTCACCGAAACGACATCATCCTAAAACCCTAAGTTTTTTATATTGTTTCTTTTCTTCTTTTGTCTGCATCGCGAACATTGTATGGAGATATATTTCAGCCAATTTTGCGATAGAGATACATACATTTTTTTAAAGAATAGTTTTAATTTCTTCGTTTCGAACAAAAAGTGAACATTGAAACAAGCGTACCTTACGTTTTGTAGTTTTGTTACATTCAATCGCATGCAACATGTAATATGCGGTGAGCGATGTGACACCGGGAGTGAGAGAGCGTTATAGTGAGTGCATTTGTTGCTTCATGAGTTCATAAGGCACATGCGGAAACGTAAACACTGCTGCACCGAGCAACACAGTTCTTCCTTGTACAGAAAGCGGTACCAAACGCCGAACAACACAGCATTTCATTCAAAACACATGGTTATAGTCAATTCCATAGTGAGAGTACGCTGTTCATATGGTATCCTCTGCGTCTGTTTTGGTTATTCTCTCTCGTTGTCTTCGTTGTCGTGTGTTCTCTCGCAGACGGTTTTTGTTACCCTCATTGGTTTGTACATGAGTTTACAACTGTTTGAGAGTATACGCACTGTGATTTCGATATAAACGACTGCCGTTTGCGTTGCATGCACCCATCGGTGCCGTTGTCGTGTGCGCGTACGTTATGATTCGTTCTGTATGCCTTCGAATGAAAATAAACAACATTGTGCAGTTTTGGGAATCAATGTTGAGATCCCATTCAGTATAGCTTTGACTGCCGGTTCGTTAAGACGTCGATGAGTTTTTATGCTCGTCGTATTTTAAAACCGAATACATTTCAACCGTTGAGGGAATACAATTTTAACAAACGAAGTGAATATATTGAGATCGGTGCATAGTGCATTACACATTAGTCATTCTGGACAGGGCGATAACACATTTCTTCTTTGGTGAAATTTGTTTGTGGAATTTTTCGTAAAATTGTGTAAATTTCAACGATTAATTGCTCACCGGGGACAATTTTTTTTTCTTTTCTGATTTAATTTCAAAAAATTACTAAAAACGACAAAATACTGACAAATTTTTGTGAACATATGCAAACACGCGACAAAAACGCAGTTTTTCTTAAAACGCAAAACAACAGATTTTTATTGAGTGTTAAGTGATTTAAAGACAGAAAATAACGAAAAACAATCAAACCAATCTCGAAACAAAAAAAAAACGAGATAACACTGGAATCCAAATACAAAAATAGAAATGATATATTCTGGACAAGTATAAATGTAATAAGTGACATACGACATTTGATGCACCTTTTTTATGAGTTCTGAAAAAACCACGAAATTCAACAGAAACTTTATTATTTATTCAAGAGACAAATAGACAGATTAGAGATTGTGTGTGTGTTTTGAATATAATTGTTTTTTAAACGAAATTTGTAAAATAGTGAACGGTTTTATTGATCGGAAGTGTGAAGTCGAGTGGATTTTATGATTTTCAAATAAAATAAATAAATTCGAGAATTTGTCGCGGTGTGTGATTTTCAAATAGTCTGTGTAAAAAGAAATTATTTTTTTTTCTCTTTCAACACATCGGTGTAAATATACATTTCGTCAAAAGGAAATTCGTCGAACGCAACAAAACAAGAGAGATAAGAACTGTCACAAATCTTGGGATTAATACATCACCGAAAAAGAAACTGTTTTGTCGGTGAGTTTGTCTAAATTTTTTTCTTTGGCTCTATCTATATCAGTGTATTCCATTAAAGAAATGCAGACAGATAATTCCAAGTAAAAAAGAAGCATATCATCGATTGGTTTGCTTTTTTACCGCACGAAATTAACACCCATCGCGTTTCAGTTTCGATTTTAATGCTGTTGACAGGAATTCGAAAGATTAGACGAAATTTTTCGTCGCATTTTTTTAGCGCTTCAATTTTTCATCGTCTATTTAAATCGGATTCATAGCTTTTTCTCCTCCCATGCTCTATATTTATGAAGATTACCTTTTTTTTAACAAATTGAGTGCCAACAGTGTAGAAAAATGGAACAGTCGTCAATATTAATTTATTTATTTTCTTATTTTGTGTGTGTATGTCTCTTTCTGCTGTTGCAAACTCAGTATCCGAATTTATGTTGATGAAAAATGTGTCCAATGTGTACTGACAAATGTATTAAAATATTTTTACCGCCCGTGATATCGTTTTTGTATCGTGTCTATTTTGATGTATGTTTGGGCATTTTGTTATGTGTTCTCTTTTTTTTTTGTGTATATCGGTGCAATTCGGAATTAAAATTTTCAATTACTGTCCCAAATTAATCATTCAACAATGCTATAAGCGGATAAACGAAAAAGATAAAAAAAGACACTGTCCGAATATATATGATATTTGGTTCAATGTTTGTGCGTCATTGTGAAAGCAGAGAGTCGTAAACGGTTGTCAGAATCCATTTGGTATGATATATTCAGTTGTCGGGTTGTACATAGTTTTTATTACATTTCCAAACTCATTGGTGAACGCGAAAAAAAAATTCCATTTTGCTCGTCGAAGGAAAAAATCAATTTCGAAAAAAAGTGCATTTCGCTGGAATTTACAGGAGCTTTGGGAAAAAAATGAATATTGAAAAGAAATGTGTTGCGCTTCTTCATGAAAGGTTTCGATTTCCAATCAGAATGCAAATATTACATATATGATGCGATAAACTAGGAAACTTAATTAAGTCGACGACTTAAAGTATTTTCCCAACCTTTAGCCTTTCTCCATCGATTTTCAATTTTATATGCATATATTTGGAATAAACCATGTCGACGAACAACTTCCAGGAAATTGCATTGCTTGTTCGGATGGCTTTTTGAAATGCATTGAATGAAGCGAAGAAGAGAAAAAAAATGAAAATAATAAGTAACGAAAACTGAATACTTAACCGAACATGATTTATTGATTTGAAATTTGAAATGCATGAATCATGGATTGATGGAGCTGGCGGCAATGTTTAACGCTTTGCGTTATTCACAACCATTTCAAATGTAATGAAACCGTTGCAAAGTGAGCGAGATATAGGTTCATCGAAGAAATGAAGCTAGAAGCACGCGGCACAGTAAAAAAAGAGACCTAACTTCAATATTCTTATCTGGATGTGTATCAGAATGGGCAAAGGTATGAACTTTTCTGTGTGCCTCAGCACAGGCACACCAAAGCCACCACAAAACATATGAAAATTGTGCAAATTGATGACTTTATCGGTACCGCAACTTGGTGTGTGCTGCGCTCGACTGCCAAGATTTAATTCATACAAACATAGACAGACACACACACACACATTTCATTTCGTTCAGCAAATGATGTGAGCGCGAGTATTTGTTTGTAGCTGAGGTCGTTATCGTTGTGTGCATAGCAGCAGTTAAAGCAGAACGTGTGCATGCCAGCTATCAGACTATTAATGTTTATATGGTCGGTTATTTCGAATATCGAGCTAAAGGATTAAATGGATGAACATAATAATAACGTGATAGTGCAAAAGTGAGGTGAAATTGAAATATGCAATAGAATTTGAGTTCAAATATCGACTATTACAAAACGGCACTCACATACACAAGCGAACACACATTCGTCGTGCTTATTTCACCTAACTCTAATGCCATGCATGATATTATTATTATTCGACTGTTGTAGCTGTATAATGTGGCCTCGTGTTGAAAGCAAAACGGGCAAAAGAGATAAAACAGCATAGATAGATTTTGGTTTTTCATTCTTGCAGTATGGATGTGCGTGCTCGCGCTCTCTTATTCTCTATCATGTTTATGTTTCTACATAAAGTGTGTGGCTCTCGGCCGGTCTTGCTGTGTTTTTTTTTCGCTCTAGCTGCTGTCTCACAGCCTACGAATATGTGTGATTTGTGATACGTACGTTTCGATGGTATTTCGAATGGAATTTAATTGCAAATATGGGTAGGATTCGTTATAATTGCGGTATCACCACGTCACGTACGTTAGTTGTTAAAGTGTAGAACAATTTCAAACTCATTCTTTCTCTATCACATTTGCACTTCTGCGCTTCCATAACACACACAGACATTGTTTACGCTTCATTCTTTATCCAAGCAAAGAATCACCCTTATCTGAGTGATGCTTACAGGTTTCTCTCCTGTTTGGTACGTGTGAACGATGAACACTATCACCAAATGAAGTATTTTTTTTTTCACTTTGTTTTCAACTGTCTATCACAATAACTCGATCTAGACACTTTCAGTGGAATAACGCCCGAAAATCGCGTGTTTTATTATAAACACTCGACCGAAAAAGAACCGTACACAATCCAACATTTCTCTTGATCTCTTTCTCTCTATAATTCATTTCATCTCGTCGACGAACTTCTTTTTATTTTCTTTGCATAGAATTTCATTTCGTTAATTCGCGATATCACATCTGAAATTCTTAATGTGTGTGTCAATATATGAGCCACTTTAGCCACATCGTTTCGCACTAGTTTTCTGAATAAATTAAATATGGACCGTGCACATTCTGCGTAAATCTTTGTCTCTATTTCTTGTGGTCTTCACTTCATTTTGACCATCAAAGAAATAAAAAAACGCAATGCGCGATGTGATTATGTGCTAAATCTTCTGCCACATGCGAAAACGCACTTCGTTTATTTTGATTATAACTTTAGATCCAATAGCCGTAAGCGATGCTTTAGATTAAATGCGGACTCTCTGTCTTCAAAAATTGTGCACCATTTTTCGTTTCTTCACCTGAAATATATAATTTTGAGTGGCTGAACGCCGCCGAATGAACGAAAAAGCAAACGGGAGAAGAAGAAAAAAAAGAATTATTGAAACGCAATAACGAATTTCTCACAGACACACTACGCTCTCTCTTGCATACGGGACAGAAATTCTGCTGGAATCGAATTTCGAATTGGCCTGCAGTGGTTTTGGCATTCAAAACGAAAATTAAACTGCCAACTAAAAATGTTTGAATATATTTTGCACATTCATTCATATATATGTCGGTGCCAATTTGCATCAGTTTGTTGTTGCCAATTCACAAAGTGGAGAGAGGACGGGAAAAAGAGAGAAAAAAGGAGAGTTTTGTGCCATCATTAATGTATTCAATTTCTTCGGAAATTACCAGGTTTCCATATCTTGATACAACTTTGCTAACATCATTCATAAACTCTCTCGCGGGCGCGCACTTGCCCAAAGATATGAGCATTTTTATTGTATGTTTTGAATATATCAAAAACCAAAGTGTGTATGTTATCACAAGATTTACGACTTTTACAAAATTTGAATAATTTTTTTCCCTTCATATGCGCAACAAAATTACGACATATGCACACATTTTTTTCTATCTAATGCCTTCTTTGACTTAATTCCATTCTTTTGTTTTCGTTTTATTTTTGCTCGGCTTTACACTCTTAAAGATTATTTAAATGTTTGTTTTTTTTTGGTTTTTTTGTGCCGTTCTCTACCACTTGAAGTTAAAGCGTTGTTTTGGTTTTTGCCGTCGCAATGCGATTTATTCAATGAAAATTGATGCTTAAAGTTTTGCGTTCATTCTCATTTTCATAAGCATATACAATGAAAAATGAAATATACGGTTTGGGGTCTTTTGCACGGTCGTCGAAAGCATCCGTTTATGTATTCTGTCTCTGTTTCATCGTCTACACATTGAATGTGCTCTGCTTAGATGGCTAAATGGTTTGGCTTAAATGGCTTGGCATTGAATCTGAATGAGTATGTATGTATGTAAATATAAAATCATATTTTGCCACTGCACACACATTATAATTATTGCCATTATTGTTAGTTTGCATACATGTTAGTGGCGTGAGTCAAGCTGCCTGCCAGCTTGCCTGATGATGCTGGTGGTAGAGTATAGTATAAAATATTAGAAGTCTTTTGCGGCATATGCTTAATATGCTTTGCTTAAAAAAAAAAAAAAACAATTTTCGTGTTGATGCAGAGAGACGCGCGCGCGTCAGCGCTCTCCAGCCAAAGATCCACACATACGATGCTTGAACACTTACCGTGCCCCAATGTAAAATGCTCTTGAAATTATATTTTATTGGATCGATAAGATGAGGAGGATTCATTTTATTTGCACAGCAATATACAAATTTTAATGCGTTCCATTTCCAACTTTGATGTGCTTCATTCGTCGAATGTTCTTCTTTTTTGCTGTTGTTGCAAACTGTGTGTTGCAGTTTGGCATGGCTTCGTGCGTACTGTGTACACTTTTTTTTGGATTGCTAGCACACAATCAGCCTACGGCCAACGAACAAATTCCAGTTTTATTGCACTGTTTGCAGTTTAATATTATTAGTGTGCATCAATCGATCGCTTCATTCTTTATTATTTTACTTCCATGGAATTCACTCGCGCGCTCTTTCTCTCTTTCTCTTTCTCTTTGGCCTCTGTTGTTTGCATGCATGCTCTGGCTCGTGGCGTAGCCACCTAACCATCACCACTATTCATTAAAATGTGTGCACTTTGTAAGAGCCCCCTTAAACATTATTTTATTAATTCGTATATGTCGATGAGGATTGAGGGATTGAGGAATGAGGAGCGTATATATCAAACTGAATGCTGAGTGAGTTACACAACAAACACATAACAGATCAATAAAAACGCTTTAAAATTGACCATATCAAATAGCACCAAAATCAATTACAATACTTTAATTGAATCATAAAAACAGGCCCAATCTATCGATAGCGAGAAGAGAGAGAAAGAGCGATAGAGAGAGAGGTAGGAAGAGTGAAAACGAAAAAAAATGGGCTAAAAATTGATTGAGTTATTAAATAGCCGAGTCTATTAAAATTCGATCCAAACGAATCACATCAAGCTGCGACAAAAGAGATAAAGTGAGAGCAAGCGAATGCAAAAGAGAGAAAAAAACAGAAAGAGAGGCATAACAGGCACCAAGTTTGGCCTGGAATAAGTGCATTTACGCCCACCAAATGTGATATTTTATGCACCACGACGGCGACGGTTAAATTTTTACCGTTTTCGTTTGAATCGATTGGCGCGTCCATGCAGAGAGTGCATCAGATAGTGGGAAAAGAGCAAATTTGTCATGTATGTGGCATATGAACGTTAAGCAGATCCTCGAACATGATTGATACCAAAACTGTGTTGTTGTTTTTCGTCTTTCTTCTCCATTTTTTTTTTCTTCTGCTCGGAATTTCATTTGGCGTGAAACATTTTAAGCACAAAACCGTAACGAAATAAACAGGCCACAAAATCTTAATCTGATGATGTGGACTGAAGTCAATTTATGACGAAGCCCACGCTCTGTCGTTTTGCAACCAATTTTTCCACTGATCGATCCATTTACGTACGCTGTATCGCTTGGAACACGTTTTCACACCAATTCATTTAAATCAGAATAAAATTGCACACAAAACGACTATCTCGTTCAAAACCAGCAACAGCAACAACAACGAAATAAGACAACGATACGAAACGAATGCCCAAAAACGAATAAAAATTATTATCACACTGACGATAATTGTATTTTTATTACATGCAAGCCATTTGATGTTATGCACTATCCAATCAATAATTTCTCTTTCTCTCTTTCTCACTCTCCGTTTGCATTTCGGCTCGAGGCTTGAAACAACAAGAAAAATCGACGCATATGCATGGTCAAGCAGAGGAACCTATCATCAGATGTTGGATGCATTGCAATCGAACCATAAATATATGTTCAATGCAACGCTATTTTCTTCTGCCGCTTATCAAAATGAACGAGACCGAGAGATAGTCTGTGTGAATGTGCTGTTGACGCGCTCGCTCTCTCTCTCTCTCTCTCTCTCTCTCTCCTTTTCCCAAACTCTTCCGAACACAGAAGATAACTCAGTGTGATAATAATGTATAACGTCGATATATTTTATATATTTCGATCGTCGTGGGCACATTGTCGCTTTGCACTCATGACACTCATTTTGGTTTCGAGTGTGAGAGACAGAGATATGCGGTACGATGTTCGGCATGGTGTAAATCGAAAATTTACGATCTGAAACGTGGAAATAAACAATGTAATAATCAAATAAATAAATTACTACACCGACCGTATGCTCATTTTTATTGGTTTGTTTTCGTTGTATTGTGAATATTATGACTTTGAGATGCGGGATGCATCGTGCTGCGCTCTATTCTCTCCATCGTATGCGCTTGTCCTATCAATTGTCGTTGACATTCGTTGAATAATCGAATTTAAACAAAAAAAATGATAAGACACCAAAATGAAACGCTGGTGCGATATTCAAAGCACATTCTTTTCAATAATAACAACATAATAGCTTAATTTGTACAATCGTCTCGAGAGTTTTGAAAATCAACGGAAATCGACGGTTATGGCCTCGAATTAATATGTTGGTGGTCAAATTATCTCCGCACATTCAACGGCGCTGCAATTTTCAATGTACCATAATAATTTTTTTTGTTCATCAATTGCTTCGCTTGTTACCAATTATGCAACTATTCAACGATAATTTTGAAATTGTGTGCGTTTGTGCTTGTGCTTTCATTCAATTTTCATGACTTTTGAAATTGGCTCGAGGCGGTTCACTTACAAGATTGGCTCGTAAATAGACTTTATAAATGTATTAAACATTCCAATGACATTTTATTACGAATGAACAGAAAAATGCGCAGAAAGCAATTATTTTAATGCTTGCAACAGTTTCACATCTTTCTAGAATTCTTTGTGTGATTTGTTTTTTTTATTTTATTTTATTTCTTCTCTGTTGTTATTATTTTCATTTCATTTTCGTGGTACGATTCTATGTAAAAGGCGAAGAGCAATCGTTCTGCTGAAATTAACTGCAAATCGATTTAAGTGTGCTTGACGCAAATACGGGAAGTTATACAAACGTCGTGTATAATAAATGAAGTGTCATTTCGAAAAATGGGTTTTCGCATGATGAATGGAAGCAAAATAGCAAACGAATGGGAGCGCGCGCACACAACACCGCCTTTTGATAAGACGTTTCACAAATGCTCGGAACCATTGCAATAAAATTAATGTAAAACTTACCAAATGCGGATTCACACGCTCCGCAATCGAGTTTCAGTTTAATCGATTCGCCTTTTGTTTTTACGCGTCGTCAAAATAAACGAGAGCAAAAGAGCGCAGAGAGGCAGGGAGAAAGGGAGAGATAAAAAAAAAGTTTGCCACTTTGCGTTGGCGTTACGAAAAATTGGGTAAATTATACAAATCAATTAACCTCTGCGTACGCTTTTTGCTGCCCGGTTACAAATAGAGTGCGCTATATCCACAGAGAGACTGAATAAAAATGAAAGCACTTGAGCTCTATTTTTGTTGGGAAATTATCATGTTGCGTAATGAAATGGCAATTGTCAACATTTTGCACACATACACAATAGAGCTCAGTGTTTGTTCATTTTGGCCAATTCATAATTTAACGTGAGCGCCAACAGCAGCAAAAAGGTATGCACAACATGTATAACATGCCAAAATGATAATGCCACCACATAAATTCGATATAGTACGGCATGTCATTTGGCATCTCCGGCTCCATTCACATTGTGTTCCATCACCAAAATAGCATCGTTCATCTTCGGCTGGAATAACAAACACACAAACCATTTTTATTGAAATGGCAGAAATTTTCTCTGTGTGTCTCATTGTTTATCTATTTATTTATTTATGGTATTCACTGTTATTTCGGAAAATATTTGTACACGCCGATGAACGAGAGACATAACAATTGTAAACACACCGAACATTGAACGAATATATACTCGTCATCTCGTACAACAGCAAATTTGGATATGAAAGGGTTCCATAATAATTGTACCTCATTCTCTTTACTCTAAATTAAATATTATTTTATTAGTCAGTGAATATAGCAAAACCAAACACTGTTCAAATACACTGAGTGTTGTGCATTGTTGTTTGCTGTTGTAAAAGCGGCAAATAAATGAGTATCATTTGATTGGGATGCTTTTGATGGACGGTTTACGTCGGGCGGTATTGCAACATCAATACGCTTTTCTTGGAAAGTTTTTTTAGACGAAGCGAAAATTTAAACAATTGACATTTTGACGAAGAGCAAACAATTTGAATTCCTCGGCTTTTCAAATATATACTTAAAATCATAAAACATTTAGACTAATCTATTCCATTTTTCTCATTCGTTTTCTGTTTGTTTTTAATTTATTGCAGAAAAGACCAACTTCGCGAGAAAATCAACCAACTGTGAAAAAAATAATATTGAGGATACTGCAGAGGACAGGCACGATACAAGACGAAAGATCAAAGTAAATAAATTGCCAAAACGAGTCGCAAAAACACACTGTGGTGTCGTGTCCAGCATTCCAACCGACTGACGGAATACAAACGTGCGTGAGCAGTACGAGAAAAAAAAACGAGAACTGAAAACAAAATAAATATGCAATCGACAAAAAGCACTTAAAAAGCAGCACATCCGAAGTGGCTTACGGCGATTAACGAAAAAATTATCAATTGATTGAGTGACGGCGTTAATATGCACTCGAACTTCATCGTCTTCTGAAATTCTTCACATTCTTCCTTTTCGCACAAAACACGATTTGTGCATTTACTGTGAGCAATAACAAGAGCAGACGGCAACATTCACGACTCAATCGGGTTTTAATTTAATAAGAGAGAAAAAACAACCTGCAAGAGATAACGAGAGAAAAGAGCAAGCAAACGAACCCACGTGAAATTTATTCGTCATTATTTTGAAACGAAATCGTTTTTAAAGAACAAAGAGGACGAAATCGCATTGGGAATACAAAAGAAACTGATAAAATCCCCAAAGACACAACAGTAAAAAAACACAGAGATAGAAAGAAAGAGCTTGAACATCGAAAAACGATTTCACAAAGAAAAATCGAGATGACATTTTCGAATGATTTTACAAGTGCAAAATAAATACAAGGAAGACGGGAAAAAAATTATATGTATTTTTTTTTTTTTTGAATCATCGAATAATCAAATAAACTCTCAACACGAAGCAAAACCGCTTCACATAACACGTACACACACCACACACAAACTTTTTGTGTTCGTCTGTTTGTCTTTACTTGGTTCGATGAAAAAAATTTGATGAGAAAGCAACATCGACAATCAAAAGACAGGCGAGAAATAAAATAAATACAAAGATAAAAGGAGACGATATAGAAACTCAACAGCAGAGAGACAAAAAAAATAGAGATACATACATCAAACCAATATGCATTGGATAAAGGAACATCGGCAAAAATCCTTAACGGGCAATGCATTAACGATCATTTTTTTATTGATCTTGCACTTCAGCCAAAATGTTTTCGGTAAGTTTTTTTTCCCACTTCTTTTATCGCTGTCTTCATTTTAATTTTTGTCTTTCACAAGAAATATAAAGATTGATTTGAAGCATTTAGTTCTTTTTTTTACATTTCAACTCTCGAGAGTCGAAACGAAATGCATCTCGTCCAGAATATTAAATGATTTTTGTTGATGACCATTTTCAATCAAGTCAAGACACGACGAATAAACGATTGAGACTACTTTTTCATCGTGATTTGTTTGCACAAGTCCTTTCGATATTTACGAAACTCACCGGTAAATATCTATTAAATCACAAAAACCAAACAAACAAAAAAAAAGGTCATAAAGCAAAACCCATATAAAACCGAATACTCACTTTACTTAATGCACACAAGCATTGGCACAGCGACAGAAATTCCATTTGTTCATTTCCCTTTATATCTACTTCGTTTTTTTCTTAATTTCACTATGAATTCTAAATGGATGTTTACATAGCTATTTGCCATTTCTTATTCGGTTTCCTTTTCTCTATTGTTCGCATCGTGTGTAATCGCATCCAACCGGCAATATTATATTGGCAATGTGATTTGCCTGATGTTTATTTAATATTAAACTTTATTGATATCTTTTTCGTTTGATGTTTGTTTAGATTTTTCTTACCTTCGATGCATTTTTGATTTCAAATTGTCGTTTTGCTTGATAAACACACCACAGAGACGCGCCGTAACTTCTTCAACTTATTCATGTGTATTTTTTGTATGGTGTGGCGCATTCAAGTCGGCGGCAACTTTGTCCTTTCAAGATGAATTATAATATTTATTTTTCTAACAAATAACAAAAAGGAAAGTACAAAAGCCTATTTGCATTGCTATTTTCCTTTGCGCCTCTTGACAAACGCACTGTCATCTCGTCTCTATCTTTTTCATACACACATTTGGTTCAATTGAAGAGAGAAAAAAAGAGTTTGTGTACGTGTGTTTACGCTTTGGTAAAAAGACAAATGCAAACAACATGATTGGGTGGTCTTTTTTTATAAGATCGCGCGTTAGGGTAATGTCGAAATTAATCGCATCATATTTTGCTGTCTCTCTTCTGCAGTTCGATTTATTTTTTATTCAAATTTGGTGTCGTTCTGCACACAACAATTATTGTTTATACTTGGTATTTATAGGCGATGCATATATTTTCAGTTTCGTGCTGTTTGATCTTTATTATTTTCCTGTGTTTACATAAACACTGTATGCATTTTCCCATTTGATATGCGCCGAGATCACATTTTTTTCACATCCAAATGTGTCGCCAGAGCGCACACTCGAATATTATTAAAAAGGAACTCTATCCTTTTACTCAAAACAACCAAAAATTATTCGATTTGTGTGAGAGAGACAAAGTCATAAAAAAGTCGTTATTGAGAACGAACAGGATGAATGAAATCAGGAACTCAATATTATGATTCGGCGACGACGATGACGACGCCATCGTGCGATATGATCGTATCACATATCAGAAACGCACGCCGTCACATCATATAAATTTATAATAAGCCAACCAATATGTTCAGTACACAGTAATGGATGATTGAAACAGCGAACGGATGGGACGCGTTTTATATCCACACGAACGGTTATTCAAAAATATAGCAACGAGAACGAAAAACAAAATCGATTTCTATTTGTTTTTTACCTCACGTTCGAATCTGACGTTCATTTGTTTGGTTCATCAGTGTTCGATGGCCGTTTCTATGTAAGTTTATACAAAATTCGTAATAATAATAATAACCAACCTTTGTCGTCGTTTTTATTAACATCATTTTCGGTGCATTCTATCTCTCGAATGCCAGAATATATAGAGTTTCTCTGGATCCGAGTAAACAAACACGAAATAGACAACGACGACGACGACAAAAAAAACCATGTAACGTCCCATAGGACGGCATCATCAGAGGCAGTCTATTGAATCTCGTTTCTTTTTTCTCTTTTTTTCTGATTTCTGTGCTTCATTGATGCTGTCGTTATTCGACAGGAAAAAGTCTCGATAAAATCCATCAATTCACGCACAATACCGACACACTGGCTTTTGTTCTTTATGAAAAATGCTTCCTAGATTCAGAACACTTTTTTCTAACTTGCGATTGAAGATTTTATCATCAATAGTCTCTTGTTCTGTTCCGCCGGTTCGAAGTAATCGTTTAATCATCACAAAAACTGAGAAAAAAGAGTCTTTTAAATATTAATTTCTCAATAAAGAGACAAAAAACTGGCAAATACAAACCAAGAAGAAATTTAAGACAAAAAAATGCAAATATTTTCTTGGCTTTTGGTAAAAGTGACAAAAAGTCTGGTGCAAAATGAATTCTTTTATGCGGTGGCTTGGACCGTGACGGGTGTGCACATGCGAGGGAGCAATTCTTTTAACTTGTCGCAACAGAATGATTATAAATTAATTAAATGTAAACAGTTTTCACAGTGTTTTTATTTATTCACATTTATGTCGACATTTTTGTCTTATTTCTCTCTGATTTTTTTCCATCGTCGTCCTCATCGTGGACGTTAGAGTGCATACACACATTCGATGCACATCTTTCGGTTGGAATGGTGAATAAGATAACAGGACTTAAGTAAAAAGCAAATAAAAATGTAAATATAAAAAAACGAATTTCGGACACACACAATAAAATAAAATACGAGCGAATGTACGGCGTGCAGCTGCAAGCAAATGGGTAATGTGTTGTGCGTGACAATTTCTGTTCTCGATGTGTAGAGGAGTGCTCTTGAACATGAACACATTCGTCGTATATTTTGTTCATCTTTTCCATTTTCTTCTGTGGACGATACACACTTTGAAAAATAATGTAAAATTGTGTCTCTTTGTCACTGTCGTTTCTTTATTCTGTCGCATCTCGCGTTCGCTGACTTATTTATTGTTTGTTGAATCAAACGTAAAAGAAAAAAGAATGTTTTCAAATGAACGAGAGAATAAAAGTGAAAAAAAAACAAACATTCTGCTGCCTTGAAATTAGGTGACAACATTTGTAATGATGGAAATAAATTTATTTGAAGTGAAATGCGCTTAAAAAACAACGGGACTGTTTGAAGCGATAGAAAACAAATTGGAATTCAATATTCCACATTTTTAATGTGCTCTCTCACGCTCCCTCTCTCTCTTGGTTGGCTTCAACAAAATCTCATTTTGCATTAACTTTTTCCCCGGCATAAACTACAAAGTGCATGATTGTGGCTCATTCAGGTAGTATAAATGACATGGCAAAGTTTTTCAATATAATTTTCCAGTTGTCGGTTTTTCCATCTCTCTTTCACTTCAGTTCTCATGCTCATTCATTGTTTGCCAAACTCTTGGGGATTGAATTATTTTGCCAAAGAGTTGAAAATCAAAATGTCGCATGATGCCAACTTAAAAAGAACTTTTCCATTTGCTTGACGAACTTTGTGGCATTGCATTTGGGTAATATGCTACGAAGCATAAAACGCCAATTCGGTCTCTTTCTATCGTTTTTCTTCATTTTCATCATCAACGTTCAGTGACTTTCCGAAATAAAACTTTCAATTGCCACACGAATCCCGAACGAATCGAGAGTTGACTTTCGAATTCGATTAAGAAATTGCATTTCCGAAAAACTTTTTCTCGCTCATTTATTTCAATATGATATGTACGGTGTGTTCCAGTTTCGTTTTTTCTCTCTCACTTTATTTCTTTTTTGGTTTGGCTATCAAATCCAGTTGTTACACACCGATACGGTCATTTACGTTTTTGCGTAGGAGAAATGCCATCGTCAAAGAATAATTTGATATTATTAATCATCAATTAAGTATAAATCTTGTGAAGAGCGAGAAGATGCATATTCCGAGAATTGAAAACAATGACCCGCACAAGGTGTGGCCAATAACAGTTACAGCTTTATAATAAAAATCAAATTACATGCGGGAATTGGGCATTTAAATATATACAATATAGAGGAAAAAAAGATCATCAAAACATAATCCACACACCCTTCGATTTTTTGCTCGTTAAATGCAACATTACGCAATTTGATCATAAGAAATAATCAATTTGCTTGGCGAAAAATGCCTGGCAATCACTTTATTTTGAAATTAAAAAAAAACATCCTTTGATCGCACTTGCTGCATCCACATGACGTCTAACATGGGGCGAATCACGCTAGTGAATACTAGAAAAACTAGTAAATCTAGTGCGAAGAATGACGTCACAAACGAAGCCAACTTCACACCAAAGGCTATATAATTTATATGAAAAACTACTGAGAGCCAACTTCACGCACTAGAATTTTCTAGTTTTCTAGTGAAATTTTATCAAAAACTAGATGCACTAGAATTTTGTGATTGACCCCATGACGTCTAATTATTGTAGCAGTTGCTTAGATAATTCTTGCTCATTCTAAAACAAAAGCGGCTACTTTTTGCACGATTTTTGCTCACAATTCAATGTGTTAAAATGCACGCAAAAACAAGAAGGTACTTTACTCCACATGTGATTGAGTGGCGGAAGCCATCGAAAACCGATAGCGAGATCAACCGAATCACGTTGTGATTATGATTTTTTCTCGAATTCTCTTTTCGAGCCACATTCTCGCCGAATGTAATTATATGCGCGCACTCGCCGATTCAGATAGAATAGACAAAACTACTGAAAATTGCTGCGATTTCAGATGCAAATTCAATTTCATAACTTTGATTTGGTATTTCGAAAAAAAGTATCGAGCAATACACAGCGGTATACACTGTTTACACATATTCACTGTTTCTCAAAAAACGATACTCGTGCAAAGTGGAGATTAGATAGAGCGAGTGCAATGTTGAAAAAAAATATATTTTATATATAATTATCCGCGTGCTACGAACTTCTCTTATCTTAACACAAATTGCAGTTTCAATAAACAAATTGCTGCAACACCACATAACTCTCGCATTCGTGGAATCGTATCTGGATGTCGAATTGATTGATTAATTATATCTTTCCCGAAGTAAAATGTTGGTCTTGCTGTTTG